CTCAAGCAAGCTAACATCTCTTTGTCTCAGTTTGTTAATCTGTGGGCAGAAGTGGGCAGAATAACAGTCCTACTTCCAAGAGTTGTTGGGAGGATTAAATCGGTGACTATTTGCTGAGCACTTAAAATAATATCTAATGTATATTTTTGGGATTCAGTTATTAATGGTTATTGTCATCTCAGATATGTAAATATGTATGAAAAAGTTGGAAGAAAATATTAACAGTGTACTCTTGGATTTCATGGAGAATTTGCACTTTCTTTTTCCCTTCACTTCCCTGGATTCCCTAAATATTTTATTTTTTTTGTAGTGCTGAGGATCTAACCTAGAAGCTTTGTGTACACCACACAAGCACTTTACCGCTGAGCTGTGTCCCCAGCCTTCTCTGAATATTTTATGATGGGGATGTATTATTTTTATTATGATGAAAGAGTAAGGTTTATTTCCCCCCAAATAACAATAGTGGGAAGACAGACTCGGGAGCGCTTTCCTTTTGGACAGAAGGGGGTGACCACAGGGAGTCACCTCATAATTAACACTCCAGATGCTCTGGGAACACACCCATGTCAGTATTTTTCTTTCCTGGAATGGTAGCACCCAGGTAATCTTTGTTTAAACAGATCAGGCTGTACCTTCTGTCTCTCATTTGTTTACTTAATAATTTTATATGACGCCTATTGAAACAAATAGCCATGTTGGTTCAAAACCCACAACCATAAACTGTCACCGCCTGATGACAATTCCCCAGGCAGGGAACCTCAGAAATGAAATTGAATAATTGAATCGTTCTGACCACCCGTCATCCTCCTCCTCCTCCTCTCTCTCTCTCTCTCTCTCTCTCTCTCTCTCTCTCTCTTTCTTTCTCTCTCTCTCTGTCCAGGGAGACTAGGACATTTACAGGGAAGGAAAGGCCAGCTGCTGTGTAAGCTGATACAGGCTCTGTGGGTCAGCTGGCCAGGCCAGCAGCTGGGCAGGGAAAGCCAGCCAGCTGGACAGCTGGATAGCAACCTTAGTGCTAAGCATGTAGTAGGTGTTCAGGAGCTTCCTCCACTGGATTTGGGTCAGTCCCAGCCAATCTGTGTAACTCTGCCTTGTGTGGTGGGCATGCGTGCGTGCGTGCGTGCATGCGTGCGTGCATGCATGGGTGTGTGCGTGCGTGTGTGTGTGTGTGTGTGTGTGTGTGTGTGTGTGTTGAGGTAAAGAAAGGGGAATGGGAAAAGGTGGATGTCACTGCTAAGGAATAAAAACCAGTAGATCCTTTGGGGCCTCTCTGAGACTTTCATGAGTTCTAGGCTTTGGAAAGGGTGACCCCTGTTCTATGCTAGAATTCAATTTAGTTTTTTGGGTTTTTTTCCAATCTGTATTGGGGTTTCGGTTTAAATGATCATGACAACCACTATTGTTAAAATCTTATCACTTCTCTCCTCATCCCCCTAAATTTTATCCATACATCTATCCACCCATCTGATCACCCAAGCGTCTGCCCATCTATCCATCCCATCCATCTGTTCATCCATCCATGCATCTGTCCATCCATCTGTGCATCTGTCCATTCATCCACCTGTTGTGAAGTAGTGTAGTGGTGGATAAATAATTGGACCCTAGCTCCTGACTACCTGGTTTTCAATCATTTGTAGTGTGGGAGGCAGGCAAGTGAACACTGAGGTCATAAGAGCAGGTGGCAGTTGCTGTGGCACAGAGAGGAGGGGTCTAATGCCCAGATGGAGTTTCACAGGAGGTTGCAGAAGGGGCAAGCCACTGAGCACCATTATCACCTTCGTTAGCACCACTGGGATTTCTCTCATCCAGGGATGGGGCTATGGTCAGAGGGCAAAACTGATCCATAAGCCTGGTGCCTGGCATCTTTCTTTGTCCCCAGCACCTTGACCCTCCCTCCCCTGGTTCTCTGCTCCATTGCCTTTCCTAGGCCTGTTGTCCACTCAACCCCCTGCTCATCAAATATACCTGTCCCCAGAGTTCTGCTTCGTGTTAGGTTACAACTTGTTATGAACCTGTGTAAGTGGGTTGCAGGGCACTAACATGTACCTGTGACACCCCTTCGAGATCATGTTTTCACCTTGCCGTCCACATAGTAAGCGCATTTACTGTGCACAATGAAGCTGCCTATTGTGAAGACCGACTGTATTACTCAGTTGTATTGTGTGCAAATCTCATGTTATTTAAGTATCAACAGTGTGTATTGACTGCGCTATTGAATACTCGTGTTTTATTGTGAGTTTTAGCTGGGTCTAGATTGCAGCTTTTTGCAAAAGACAGCGTATTGGAGTGGAGGGGAGATGGGTAAGGTCGCAGTTAATAGGTCTGAGTTCAAATATGGCCAAACCTGTTGCTAGTTCTACACCCTTGAACAAGTCATTTAACGTCTCAGAACCTCAGTTTCCTTATTTGTTAGGTGGAGATGGAGCAGTTGGGAGGGTACATGGAACTGTCAGGCATCATGATAGTATGAGACTCATTGTAGAGGCTTTTAGTTTTGGCAGACTTCCTCCCACCCTCCACTCCCAGCAAAGGCCAAGGTAGCTTGGGATGCAGAGAGGCTTTAGAGTGGGCTGTGATCTCTGCAGCTGCAGCCCTCGGCTGGCTGTGACAGGTGTCTAGGAGCACCGTATATTGCTGTAGAGTGGTCTAGGACTGATTGGCGACTGATTGTCCTCCCCTGGGTCTAATTATTGAGGACCTTGCAGGAAGTCTTGTAAGACTTCGCCTACACTGATATCCCTTGGGGTCTCTGTCACCATTGCTGGGGTTCTCCCTCCCATACTCTCTCCCTTGGGGACTTATGTCATCCACTGCCTGGATCTCAGTGTTTGTGCCCTGAGTCGGTGCTTTGACTTCCTACCAAGTATCCCAGCCCCCATCCTTGGGGTTTCTGAATTTGCAGAAAGATGGTCCTCTCATTGTGAGATCCATCTTTAGGGTCATGTATGATTTGTCCCTCATAGTGCCAAATCACACATGCATTCATTTGGAAAACATGTAAGTTCTTGTGGCTGCTGAGCTCTGTGGGTGCAAGTGGGTGTGGTGGGTGACTGGTCCTGTGTTTCAGGCTCGTCCTTCCCCATCCCAAGGGTATGTTCGCAGCCACAGTAGGATCAGTAAGCAAGGGGAATTGGAGCTGAAACCAATAATAAAGAGCACAAACATGCATTGGAGCACATCCACTTTGTGCCTCGGTGTTTAGAAACTATGTTAGAATGTCACGATTCTCTCAGACCCCTGGAAACGAAGACTCAGGAAAGTGGATGGAAACCAGGCCATGTTTAAATGTATGACTTTGTAGGCAATGGATCAAATGGTAGGGTAGGTGTTTTATTGCCTGGGCTGGAGCTAGGAAGCGTACAGAGAAGCAGGAGGAAGAAGAGGAGAATGCAGGGGACTGAGGGGCGATCTGTGGAATAAGCAGTAAGGACTGGAGGCTGGGAGTGTGCTCTGAGAGCTGGGAGAGAAGGGGATGGGATGAGAACTTGAAGAAGGGGTATTGGTTAACAAAATTAGAGGAGACCTAGGATGTGGCCAGCTGGGCATTGATGAGCTTGGGCACAGCCACCTCTGTGGCTGCAGTGGGAGAGGTGGAGAGCTTTGGCTACTCTTTGAAGGAGATAGGCAGTGAGGAGGAGGCGGATGCTTGTAGGGCTGGGGATGGCTTTGGGTGGGATGCTGTTTGAAGCTGGACAAATGGATTCCTTTGTTGCTATGCAAGAAATAGAGGCACACACACTCCATGCTGTTTGATTTTTTTTGTTGTTGTTTTTTGGTATCTCCAGCGGCATCTTTGTCACTAAACCCTGCCAGCTAAGTTTCCCCTACTCCTCATAACTGCTAAGCACCAGGTGCTGTTCCGTGCGGGGCATGACACTGAGCAGAGATGGTGATACCCTGCTGCCATGGTTTCTACGAAGTTGTATGTTGAGAAAAGCAATGAGCACATGTGAGTGGAAAGAACTTCCAGCGCTGATGAGGCCTAAAGTGGAAGACCCTGGGGTCTTCCATCTGGCCTGCACCCACATCCTGAATGGCACAGAATCAGGGCTTGGTTTTGGGGCTTAGACCTTACTCAGGGACAGGGATTTGTGGCCAGACCTGAAGGCTGCTGTGCCTGCATCTGGCATAGAGTTTGGATAAGTCAGCCAGGAGGGAAAGATGGATGTGGCAGGAACAAGGACAAACAGGAACCTGAGTCTGTCTCTTGTCACCTCCAACATCAATGCCTGAGCTGACCTGCTGGAGGGGCTGGTGCCTTTCACCATGGAGCTGCACACACCCTTGTCCAGGGCCGGGGAATGGGAAGAGGGAGAGCTGGTGGGCTGGCGAGGCTTCGGGCTTAGGTGCCATCTCTTGCCACTAGGATAGGTCAGAGCTGTGCTCCAACGTGCAGAGCACAATCGACACACATAGGTTCAGTGCTTCCCTCCCATTTAGCAAATCTCACACAAATATCCCTGGTGCCCCCATGCCGCCCCAGCACCACCAGGGAAGGGTATTTTGGAGAACAAGCTTGTTAGCTGCACTGTTCATTGTACTGATGAAGCACAAAGTGGGATTTGTGGTCCGCAATGATACTTGGTGGGGTGTCCCCTTAGAGCAGGTGGGTGGCGAGGGCCCCTCTGAGGAAGTGACACTTGCGACAAGGCCTGGGGAAGACGGTTGGGTCACCCTAGGGAAGGGAGGAAGGCAGGGTGGCTGGAGCTTGGAGATGGGAGGGAGGCGGAGGAAGAGTCTGAGAGGGCACAGGAGCCATGGCAGGGGGAGCTTTGCACATGGAGCTGGATCTGAATCTGGCTGCAGCAGAGAAGTTCAAGGCAGGCAGTGGAGCTTGATACTTCTGAGGCTCACTTGTGCTGCTGGGGCGAGGAGGGACTGTGGGGTAGGGGAAGACTGGAAACAGGGGGCCCAGGTCTGGGAGGGGTTACCCCACCAAGCAGAGAAATAGTTGGTCAGAGCTACAGCGGTGTGGTGGCTGTGAGGAGAGGGGATTGGGTTTCAGATCCATGTGGGGGCCAGAGACCCGTAGAGGTGGATTATGTGCTGGAGATCAGAGTCTGCCATAAAATGATTACCAGAGTTGGTAATCTGATCCCAGCTTCTGGGAAAGGCTGTGAGAACTCTCTCCTCCTAGCCCTTCCTGTCTCCTCCCCTCTGTGTGACAGGCAGATGGGACTGGTCTGTCCCATCTCTGACTGTCCTCTGCTTTGGGGCTCTTGTCACTCAGCACCCCAGCATCCTGTGTCTTTAAGATGAAGACAGAAGGGTGAAGTGGAATCCAGCTCCTCAAAGTCCTGCCTTAATGAGAGGCAGAGAGAGATGATAATAAAAGCAGGAACCAGCCCGGGGGGGAAAAAGAGACGATTTTTATCCTCCCAACCCTGCAACGTCCCCCCTGGCTCTGCAAAGCCTCAGAAGAGTTCTCTCCGAACAGATGAGTAATAACCCAGCAAGAACGCCGTCCTCAGAGCACTGGGAGAAGACGGAATGATTCTGTGTTTGATTAGAATTTATTTCCAACCTGCAGCCTCCCCAGTGCCAGCCTCCCACGCGTCCGCCCTGCAGAGCTGGGCAGCCAGAAAGGCAGGGAGGAGAAAGGAGCACAGGACCCAAGTCACAGTCAGAGGTGACGGACCAGGAGAGAAGATGCCTCTTTCTCTTACTCCTGAAAGGGGTTGGGGGAGAGAGGCCCTGAGGGCTGCTGGGGGATTCATGAGGGTTGGGAAGGATGGTTGAGTGGAGCAGCTGAGCAAGCTCGGCTCATAGCTTGCTGTGTGCCTTTGTGTGACTCCTGGACCCTCTCTGGGTCTCACATTCTTTCCTCTGGCTTCATCTAGCTTTTAAGAGCTCTTAGAGGCTGTAATTTTAGGACTGCTTCAATCTCTGTCTCTGGGGATAGATTTACTTCTCACTGCTTGGCTTGAGGAAGTCAAGATTTGGATCTGACCTCTTCTTTTAATTCAGCTCCAGGGGATTGGGATAAACACACCAAATGTCTGTCCGTTCCTTTGTTCCTTCCACCTGTTTATATCACAGACTGCAGGCCTCATGCTATACTAGGTGCAGTGACGGGGTAATCCCTGCTCTCATGAAGCCCCTGCTGTTTTGGGAAAAGGGCAAGCACAGGGTCCTGGAGGAAGCCCCGGCACGGGTTTGGGAGGTCAGAGCAGGTTTTCTAAGGAAGCTGATGTCTAAGCTGGAGCCTGAAGGTGAACAGGGGGAAACCAGGAGAGGATGCAAGGGGAGGGAGAGCCGGAAGAGAGAACGGTCTCTGCAGGAGTGAAAGCAGTCAGGGTGTGAGGGATGGAAACACACTGGTGTGACAGAAAGAAAGCAGGCCTAGCGGGTGGGGTAGAGGGTTCAGATTTCACCCCTTGGGGTCCTTGATGGCTCCCAAGCAGCATCTCTCTGGGAAGGTATCTGGATTGTGTGAGGGATTGTGTGGATTGACTTCTCTAGCATGGATCCAGGGCTTCAGTGGGTAGAAGCTTTGGAGAGACAAAATGTGTCTCTAGAACAGAGTCCTTCAGTGCTGGATCTGGCTGCCCTAGTGGGACAGAGCTCTTGTCCACAGAGTAGCTGAATGGCCATCTCTCCAAGCTCTGGAAGGAAGGATGCCTGGGATGGACAGACTTTCATCTTGCAGTGAACAGGGACAAGCACTGGAGGAAGAACAGATCTGGCTTCCCAGTGTTGGCTCTGCCACACACGAGCTGTGCAACCTTGGCCATGTTAAGTAAGCTCTCCTAGAGCTTATCTGTGAAACAGAATTAGTAGCACGCTCTTCCCGAGATGGTTTTGAGAGTTAAACAAGTAAATGATGGTGGTGGTGGTGATGACTGTCACAGTGACGACAGTGGTGATGATGGTGGTGGTAATGGTGCTGGTTGTGGTGATGATGAAGACATTGACAGCTCGTATTTATTGAGCCATAAACCCTCTTACTGGTTGGTGCTCGGCCCTGCTGAGGTCCTCATTTGGGGACCTATACTCACCCCACAGTTTCCAGGAGTGTTGCCCCTGAGTGATTCCCTAGAATTGCAGCCCCTGGGTGCAGCCCTCTGGCCTTGGCATGGGAGAATCTCAAGGGCGGTCCTGCTTGAGGTTCCTTTTGTGACCACAGCAGAGCAGGTTCAGGTCTTCCGTGGCTGGGTCCATCTGCGTCTCACCCCCCTACTTGGTATATCCAGACCTGTCCCTGATGAGTCTCTTTAAGAGCAAATGCTTATCTTGAAAGCTGTTTTTCAGAAATTCAACTGATGACAGCATTTTGCCTGGCCCCTGTCACCCTGCTAACAGCTCTGCGGTGAGGACATCACAATGGAACCGCTCTTACACATTGCCAACTATGGAGTAAAGAGATCAGATCTCTCTTGCAGATGCACGGGGAAGCAGAGGCAGAAGTTGGATTTGAACACAGGCACACCTGGTTCCTGAATCTGTGCTTTTGACTACCACATGGGGCCTGGCTGGTGACAGGCAGTCAGCAAAGGGCAGTATGCAGTGAGCATCCCTTCCTGGCCAGGATTGTAGCCATAGATGGCTCTGGACCACTGCCACTTGCTCTGAGGTCCCCTATCCCTGATCACAGCAGCAGCCAGGATAGTAGCACGGCGGCAGCAGACTTCGCAGGCCCCAGCATGCCAGCATCTTGGTAGAAAACAACACCTCGCTAGGCCACCCACTCCCCAGCTGCCGATGTCACACCATTGTTGCTGCCACCAGGGTGGGTGTCTTTGCCTGAGCGTTGCTTCACATGTGGTTGGCGCAGCTGTGAAAACTGCTGGCAGGAAGGACTTGTAATCTCATGTCACCTTATGGGAAGCTGGAGGCCTTAGATGTCCTGAGACCCCAGCATGACCCAGGTTCTGGCCAGGTCTGGGTGGTGACTGAGTCTTGATTGTGATGAGACCTGAATTCCAGCCTCATATACTACTTTTTCTGGTTTAAGAATTGTTCTGGACTTTAGTTTCCTGCCCAAAGGTGGGCAGTGGGCCTCTAAAGACCCTTCCCAAGCTGGTAAAGCGGAGGTCACCTCTTTGGAGGTTTACCGGGCTTTTGATTATTTCTCTTTCATCCTCTGAATGACCAAAAGGCATCTCCTCATTCACGAGATCAGAGTTTTATATTTCATAAAGCATCTTCACAGACATGGTCTCAGTCAGCCCCACAGCAATGAGCTGAGGGCAGCAGGGTCACCTTTCTATGTCAGAGGATAAATAGAGGCAGAGAATGGAAGGGATTTACCTCAAGCCAGCTAAGTCTTTGGAAAATTCTTGCAATCTCTTCATTTTTAAACTTACAATTAAAATACTGTATGAATGGTACTGCATATCAAATCCGAGAGACAGTTTGGAAGTCATCTGGTCCACAGGGCACAGTGGTGCACATCTGTAGTTTCAGCTACTTGGGAAACTAAGGCTGGATTTCAAGGTTAAGGCCAACGTGGGCATCTTAGTGAGACACTGTAACAAAATAAAATTTTAAAAAACAACTGGGGATGTAGTTCGGTGCTCCCTTGGGTTCAATCTCTAGTACTACAAGCAAGTAAACCAACCAATCAACCAACCAACCAACCAGGCAACCAGGCAACTCAGAATAAAAGTTGAAGAGGAAGAGGAGGACAAGCAGGAGGAAGACCTCGTCATCGTATCTATTTGCTGCACAGACAGGCAGCTGAGGCTGTACAATGCCCAGTACTGGCTGAGCTGGGGCCAGAGCTGCACCTGGGCTTCATTTAATTCCTCTGGCTTGGGTGCTTTTCAAATTTCATGCCCTGAATTATTTCACATTTAAGACTAAAAACCTAAAACCTAAACCGCTAATGAGGAGGTCAGTGCTGCACAAGCTTGGGGACATGTTCCTCCCGTCCTGATTGCCTACTGGGACGACGGTGGAGTGGAGCGGAGCCTCGGCCCTCTCACCCTGCAGCACACCGCTGGTGGGTGTGTGCGGGGGAGCTGTGTTTGTGTATTTATTTCCCCTTCGTGGTAGCACAGGTGGCCCAGGGAGGAGGTGAGGCTGAGCAGCAGGAACAAAGAAATGTGTGTGTTCTGACAAATTTGGGGAATTAACTTTGAGGTTGTTCCAAGGAGAAAATGATATTTTGAATCAGGAGTTATTGTACATCGGAGCTCACTGCCTTTTAAAAAACACCTTGTTTACTTAATGGTTCCATTTACAGATTTCCCGACACCCGAATCAGTTTCAAAAAGAATCTGGAACGGCTAATTCAGATTTTCAGTTAGATTGTGAGCTCCCTGAAGGTAGGTAATACCTTCATTACCTCTTATCTGTTCTAAAAGGCTAATTCCTTGCCCTTACCCTTAGCCCACCTGAGCTGGATTCTCTACCTCCGTCTTTTATAACAATCTGTTTCTATGTCTTTATTCTCCATTGATCTATGAATTCAGTAAGAAGAGGGTCTATACATTACATCCATTCACTTATCCATCCATGTGACAGCAATTACCCATCCATCCATCCATCCATCCATCCAATTATCTATCAATAAGCCAAACACCCATCTAACAAAATGTCTATCATCAACCCATCTACCCATCCATCATCCATTTATGCAAGCACTCCCGTCCATTGTTCATCCATTCACCTGTGTATCCATGCAACTATCTATCCATTCCTTTAGAGCTCCAGAAAGTTGCACACACAGGGTGTGCTGCCAGTGATTATCCCGTACCTGGTGTCACATTCACTGTAATCACTGCCACATGTAGCACATACATTTGCTCACGAAGAAAAGGAAGCCAAAACCTGCCAGACTTCATGAAGTGGAATTACTAGTCCCATACTGGAGTCTACAAAAGAAAGGTTCAGGAAGTTTTAGTAATTTGCGCAGGTTCACATGGTTGTTCAGTAGGAACTGGGCCTCTGACTCCAGAGCCTCTGGTCTGGGTCTTTCCCCTCACTATGGTGGGAGATATTCTGGGGGCAGTGATCTAACCCGCGTGTACCCCGCCCAGCAACGTAAACCTCCCCACAGCCACCCCTCATCGCAAGCTGTGGCCAGCTGTCTGCTACCTCTGTCCCTTCTTTGTAGGGGCTGTTGTTCCTGACTTGAGTCCCTGGGGAGAGAGACAGGGAGAAGAGGTTGTGGGGGACCCACAGCCACGTTTGGGCAGCGCCCTCTTCTCGCTTTCTGTCCTCGAGGCTCAGAGCAGCCTGAGGCAGGTAGCTCTGCTCGGAGTGAGCAGTGGCAGGTCAGTGAGCTAGGGAGGGAGGGAGGGGCAGGGAGGGCCAGTGGAGACCAAAAGCACTGGCTCCAGAGGCCCAGGGTGAGGGTGGGGGCTTTGGGAAAAGGAATTTTGGCTGGTTCAAGTTCAAAGGAAGCCAAGTGCAGGTCGTATAAAGGACAATCCCTGAGCCTGTGGGGCTTCTCCTGATGTCTTCCAGGCTCCGTGAATTCTTTGCATCCAGAATTAACCCCATTTCTTTCCTGTTCCGTCTCTCTCTCAGCTGTCTCTCCCTTAATTTCTTGGGAAATGACACTGCATCATTTTGTCTATCTTTTCTGTCTCCCTTTCTTTATTTCTTTGGGCCACAACCCTCACCACCACTTATTTTTTTCAGTACTAGGACTTGAACCCAGGAAGCACTAAGCCACATCCTCATCCCTTTTTATTTTGAGACAGGGTCTGTCTGAGTTGCCCAGGTTGGTCTCAAACTTGCAATCCTGCCTCAGCCTCTTGAGTAGCTCAGATTCCAGCGGAGTGTCAACACGCCCAGATCTGCAAGCTCTTTTTGCTGCAGATGCAGTAAGTGTTCCTCTCTCATTGGAGTTTTTCCTCCCCTCCAGGGACGGGAAACATCTAGGATGGGCTGGTTACAGCTCCTAAGGCCAAGGCCAGGCTGCCTCTAGGGATGGATACCATCAAACCCGCTCTTCCTAGACTTTTCTCACTGTAGCTGATGGAAGTATTTTTCCCTGGCAGGTTGAAGGCTTTAAAGACTTGAGTTGTGAGCTCTTTGCAGTTGAACTGATAGGACAGCCCAGGACACCAAGAGGAGAAGGCATCCTGAGACCCATGTCCTAATCCCTGGGGTCAATGGCACCTCTGGTTTCTCTGATGTGTTTTCAGGGCAGGGATGGATGGGAAGCACATCGACTCTTTTGCCTCATGCTTTGATTGAGTTTCTATCACCTACAATCAGAGAATCCTGATGCTCACAATTCAAATATCTTCTTGGGCTCAGGCCTCCCCTTTACTTCCTTACCCAATCCAAACCAAGCTTTTTAAACTCTACCTTTTGATGAGCTCTCAGCTCTGCCCACTTCTCTCTATTCCCACAGCCTCCTGGAGCAGGGTGCTTTCTCAGTCTCAGAGCAGTCTGAGTAACAGACTCTTCCAACCCGGCTGCACCTTGGCTACAACACCCTTTGCCAGCTTCCTGTTACCCTCCAGACAGAGTCTACTGTTAAAAAAGAAAACTTTTAGGGGCTGGGGATTTAGCTCAGTGGCATAAGTGCCTGCCTTGCAAGCAGGCAGTTCAGAGTTTGATCCCCGGTACTGATAAAAAGGAAAAAAACTTAAAAAAAAAAAAAACTTTAAATTTCAGCATCATTTAAATTTACAGGAGAGATGTGAAGATATTTCAGAGTTCTTCCATATTCTTCACCCAGCTTCTCCTGATGTTAACTTCTTATATAACCAGGGGATGGTTGGTAGAATTGGGAAATCAATACTGATTTGCCGCTATTAACTGATTGTAGACTTTACTCAGATTTCACCAGTTTTTCTAGAATTGTCCTGTTTCTGTTTTAGGCTTTGATCTGTGATACCAGGTTTCATTTAGACTTGCAGATCTTCTAAAGGACCAGGCGCCTTCTCTGAGTCTTGGGCCTTTGCATGTGCTGTTCCCAGCCCGAGGAGCCCCTGCTTCCTTCCTCCACCTAACACATAGTCATCCTTTGAGATTCTGTTCAGTGAACGCCCATTCCAGGAAGCTTCTTAACCAAGCCCAGTTAGCCCTGGCATCTCCAGACCTCCTTTCTTTTCTTCCTTCCTTCTTTTTTTTTTTGGAAACAGGGTCTTGCTATTTAGCACAGGTTGGCCTCAAGCTTGCTGTGATCCTCCTGTCTCAGCCTCCTGACTGCTGGGATTACAGGCATGCACCACCATGTCCAGCTTTACTCTGCATTTTCACGAGCTGTTTCCTTGTCCTCCCCCCTGGGCTGGAGCTCCTTGGGGCCAGTGCCCTCCTTCATTTATCTCTGTGGAATCCAACGAACACTTGCAAAATGGATGAAGTTAGGAAAAAGTCAATACCCACACAAGTACTGCAATAGCTCAGAGGGAGAAATGAGCTGGCCAGGGGAGACCTCTGCACTTGGGGGTTGTGGGAAGGAATGACAAATCTTTACTGAGCACGGGTTATATCTCAGGCACCTTCCTGGGCAGTTTGCACGTACTGATTGAATCCTATCTATGACATGGTACTATTATTGTCCCCATTTTACAGATGAGCAGCAACACGCCAGGGAGCTACCAGGCAGAGCTGGGATCTGTCCCTGTCCTGCTTCTGTTTGTTAGGTGGACGTGGATGCAGGATTTGGGGGTGGGGAGGAAGATAAACCAAAGCCACTTTTGAAGGTAAGTAGGTGTCACCTGAATTCTTTTGGAGAGCTTCTATTGGGGGGTGTGTTTTGGTTACCCCTAAAGGTGCCAAGTGGGAGCTGGGAATGAGGAGTGACCCTAATCTGGGAAGAGAAGCCACTGATCTTCTCTGGAGGAATACGCCTGAGGCTAATTCATTAGAAAGTTCAGAGACCTGGGAGCAACCCCAGAGGAGAATAGCTCACGGAAGAATTCGGAGGTCCAGAGACAGTAGAGTGACCTAAGCCAGGGAGTTGAGGTGGCAGCGTGTCCCTGCCCAGTGAGACCCTCATACAGCGTTCTGATGTGATGGGCAACGAGGAACACTGACCTGGCCCGTAGTGGGGCTCCGTACATAGTTGCCAAGTAGATGAAAGGAAGCGGTCTAAGGAAGGAAAGGCCCGACGAACTGCATACTGAAACTCAGTTTGGATCTGGAAGAAAACAAATAATGCATTGTTGGATCAGTTGTCATTACAGCTTAGCTCACAAGAGTGTGACTTTCTTCTGCTCAGAAGGTCCTCAGGGCCATTCCTGGGTCACCCTCCTGCAGCTGGACCACTTCTGGTATGTGCATCCTAGGGGTACCAGGGAGTGGCTGTTTTCAAACCATAGACGGTGCTGAGCATGCATTTGTGCAATGAGGACTTGGAGCTTGGACACAGGGGCTTGGAATCAGCGGTCCCAGGCCCAGCCAGTGCCAAGGCGGGGTCTGGCAGCCCAAACCGTGCCCCTTCCTACCTTCTCACAGGAAAGAGGTGCTCAGGTGTGGAGGCAGGGAGGCTGGAGTGTGGGACCGGAGACCTCTGTATTGAGGATGCGCTTGTCCTCTGGGCCTGGAGCTGTTTTTTCTGCTGGTACCACCTGAGTAGGAATAGGCTCTGTGTCCAGGAGAGACGAGGAGTCTGAGGTGTCTCTCCCCAGGCTCAGGTGGCCCTTCCAGGACCCCCATACCTCTGGTGCAATGTCTGGCTCTGCCCAGAAGCTGAGGTGGGGACTGGAGGGAAGAGAGCCCCAGACCGCATCCCAGGCCAGCTCTGTGGAGTGGTTGCTAAATCAAGCAGCTAAGGGCCGGAACTGGGAGGCTATCTGGGTGCCTGAGAAGCAGGCTCAGCCCCGGGCAGACTCCCTGGTTTGCCCAGGGCGCTGGTTTGCCCCACAGGGAAGGTGGCAGAGCTGGATTGGAAACCTGAGATACCTCCCCCGCCTTTTTCTTTTATCAGGTACCAGGGATCAAACTCAGGACTGCGCGCTTGCAAGGCAGGTGCTTATGCCACTGAGCTAAATCCCCAGCCCTGCCTCCTTGTCCTCCTCGTCCTCCTCGTCCTCCTCTTCCTCCTCGTCCTCCTCTTCCTCCTCGTCCTCCTCTTCCTCCTCGTCCTCCTCGTCCTCGTCCTCCTCCTCTTCCTCCTCCTCTTTTAAGTTGCTTTATTGAGGTATAATTTAAATACGAGAAAATAAATTTCCAGTGTTGTGTTTGATGACTTTTTGTTTTTCTTGCATTTCTTTTTTTTTGAGACCAGGTCTCCCTGTATAATTCAGACTGCCCCTGAACTCACTCTGCAGTCCCGGCTGGCCTTGAACTTGCACCATTCTTCCTGCCTCGGCCTCCCAAGTGCTGGGATTGCAGGCATGCACCACCACACCTGGCATTTGATGAGTTCTGAGCATGAACCACAGTTGTGTTACCACAGCTGCAATTGGGATGAAAAGAAAGCCATTTCTCTCTATTAGGATCTGTTTTCCATTCACAGTACTCAGACACCAAATGCTGGGGTTTTCTCCTCCATGCTGAGAATTCCCGGGTTCCCTGGGGATGTGCCAACTGAGTGACCTGCAGTTGAGCTCCATCCCCTTGGAGTCTGGGGTATGCAATGCTTCTAGCCCCAGGATACATTCATGGACCAGAAGCTTGGCTTGCAGTTGTTTAGCTATTGGCGGGGGTGGGGTGGAGGGGGTGGGGGGTCCTATGCAGGCAACTGGTGATTAGCTCAATCTCTGACCACCGCCCCCCAGGTCTGGGGTGGGGCTAGAATTTGCAATTTAATCACAGGGTTGGCTCCCTTGGCAACCAGCCCCCATCTTTTTCATTAGCATAAACACAGATATGATTGCGAGTTAAAAAAAGATGGCTCCTCTCACCTCCATCACTGAGGAGACGCTAAGGATTTCAGAAGCTCCTGTGCCAGGAACCTGGAAGAAGCACCAATACCACTTCTCACCACAGGACAATGTCACACGTTTTCATCACTTCAGAGAGTCCCCCTGTGCCCCTCAGCAGTCAGCCTCCTCCCCCATGCTGGGTGACCACCAGACTGTGTTCTGTCACTGTAGCATTGCCCTTTCTAGATGTTCACATAAACGGAATCATGGCGAGGTCTTCTGTGTGTGGCTTCTTTCACTCAGCACGGTTGTTTAGAGACACTGTCCTGCTGCTGCATGAGCGAGTGGACTTCCCTTTTCATTGCTGCATTGTATTCTGCCGCACAAGAGCACCTCATTTTGTCCACTTGCTAGTGGATGGATGTGTGGCTTGTTTCTGCCTTTGGGTTGTTATCAATAAAGCCACTGTGAACAGTTGCATGGGAGTCTGTATGTGGATATTTGCTTTTGTTTCTCTTGAGTCAATTGCCTAGGGGTGGACTTGTTGGGCCAGACGGTAAGTGTATCTTGAGTGTTTTGAAAAATGGTCCTACTGCTTTGTGTTTGTCCTTATTAACACTCCAGCTCCCCACTCTGACCTCCCATCCAGGCTGTGGATGGACCATACATTCCAGAGGTCAGCTGGCAGTGGGGGTGGTGACCTTGATCAGACTGGCCATCTGTGAGGATCTTAGGTCATCAGGGTGAGGTAGGCCTCGAGGAAATCTTAAGTTGGCCTGGAACTCAAAATCCTCCTCCCTCCGCCTCCAAGTAGCTGGGATTACAGGCGTGAGCCACCATGCCCCAGCTCTGCCCAGTCTTGTTACCATTGCAGAAGCGAGGCCCCAGAGGGGAAGGGGCCTGGGCTAGAGGGAGTGGGTGCTGTCAGAGCCAAGAGGAGGCAGTCAAAGGAAGGATTTTGGGGTCACGTTAGCCCTAGACTCTAACCTGAGCTAAATTATTCACTTACTAACTTTTCTCTAAGCCTTCACTCTTTGTTCTGTAAAATGGGTCAAAACCAATATCATAGAGCAGACTGGGAGGACTAAGGGTTGAGGTTTGATGAGCCTAAAAATATTTATTGAATGCCTACTATGTATTAGCCGCTGTTCTTGGTGCAGGGAAGGCAGCCGAGAGTGAGGTAAATATGGCCCTGGTGCCCACAGAGGCTTCTACTAGCAGGGCAGGTGAATTGCAAGTCCACCTTTATAACCAGTGGCAATGCTATTTGAAGGAGCTGGACTGTCTCCTACCGCAGATGGTGGTCAGACTGTGTCCAGGAGGAAGTGAGGCTTAGCTGAGGTCTGAGTGGCAGGAGGGGCAGAGCCATAGGAAAGTGCAGGGGGCTGCTCAAGATGGAGGAACAGCACGTGCAAAGGCACAGAGGTTAACAAGGACATACTGTGTTTCTGGAGCAGACAGAAGAGCAGTGAGACCCTAGGTCAGAGATCTGGGGTGATGGGGGGGGGTCAGAGAGAAACATCTAAGAGGGGGAACAGGGTCTGGTTCCGCTGAGCTTGGAAGAATTTGGGTTTTACATAAAGAGCAGATTTATTTTAGACACAAGTGAGGATTGGCTATTATTATTCTTCCTTTGAGTTCCCATCACTCAGGGCTCCTAATTCCCAGTCTGAGCATCTTTCTAAAACCCCAACCCGGGCAGGTGCAAGGCTGAGGTCTGCAGCCAGCTGAGCTAGGCCCTCGCCCCAACCTCTCAGGCAGGCCTGGCAAGGCCGGTGCCACCAGCTGGTGGGTGAGGGGTGGGTTCCGGGTGGATGTGGGGAGGGTGCGAGTGTGGGGGACCATCTGCTGTTCCCTATTGTCCATCAGCCCATTGTCTGTTCCGCTCCCTCTGCTCTGAGGACAACAAGTGACATGGGGGAATGTGATCTTTGGGCTCCTGTTTCCAAGCCCGGGCCCCGGCCCTCAGGATGACACCGGGAGAACCCCCCCAACCCGTGGGGGCGGCAGAGGCTCTGCCGGGTGGGAGGCGCTCCTCATCATCTCCCTGGCAACCGCAGCTGCCAAATTGGTGGTTGGAGGTTTTTTTTTAGCCTTCTGGGTGGGGGTTTTCTCCTCGATTCCCCCTGAAGAATCGGGCGCGCGTGAGAAAAAATCTTGTCACCTCCTGAGGGCCGTCAGGTCCTGCTGCAGGGTCCACTGATGCCTCAGAGCACCTGGGAGCCCAGTGTGGGGATCAGGCCAAGTCTGAACCATGCTGAACACACCAAAATGACATTTGTGACAGTGTCTACGTGGTCATCCTTCTCTCTAAATCAGAGTGTTGTTAAACTTCCTTGTGTATATTTTATGCTTTGATATTGTCTTTATTCAGATTTATACAGTACAAGGCTGGGGCGGGGGAAGGGAGGGAGAGGTGGGACACTATATTCTGCTATTGTTTAGCGTCCCTAAGCGACCAGCACTGGACGGGGAAGTGAAAGAGATGCTTGGACAGCCACACAGCTACCCAGTCTTCCCTCAGATTGGGACTCACATCAGCTTTGTGTAGTGGCTTTGTCTTCTGTTTGCTGTTCCACAAGCCAAAGGGCCCAGATAATGGTCATTGTAACCAGTGTTCATTGAGCATTTACTATGTGCCAATAATTGCCTTATATAATTTACTTACTTAAACTTTATAACAACTCAAGAAGTGGATACTGCTATTTTCATGTCCATTTTACAGATGGAAAATGGAGGTGCAGAGAGGTTACATAAACTACGCCCAAGTCATCCACCTGGCTGGCAGCAAAGCTAGGATTTGCAGCTGGCGAGCCTAGGGCTGCACGCGGAGCTCTTCTGTGTGTGTGTTTTTTATAATTTCTCTGGCCAGACTCTGGGTGGGCTCACAGATAGCTCCTTTTGCTGGAGATGAGCCAAGCTCAGCCCTTGCCCCCTGTAAGCAAGGCTAGAATTCTGGGAGTGGAAGCAGAACAGCCAGGGCACCTCCCAGTGCACTGGAATAACCTGAGTTGGAGAGAGACAGACCTGTGCATGTGTGTGTCCTGACCCTGACTAGCTCTGCGACCTTGGTGAAGCCATCTTTCCTCTGAACTTCCCGTTCCCTCTGTAACTGGGGATAACAATAGCAGCATCTGCACTGGCTGATGCAGAATTGAGTTAGGAAATGTGAGGGCCTAGAACAGTGCCCGTCTCTTAGCTGGTATCTGCAAGTATCAAGGAGAATGATTATTATTGTTCTCACCCCTCCCTTTGGGGTGATCATGGGGCTTGAACAATGTGTGAAGGCACTTTGTGTGTGGAAGACAACTGAACAAATGTCAGGGCTTGGTGTGACTCATATAAATACGGAGTGTTCACTCTGGAGAGCCGGAGGGGGTGGTGGCTGAGACAGGAGCCAGCCCGATGGGACAGTGGTGAGCGAACTGGCAGGGAGGAAGCAGAGGCAGGCTGCTAGTCCACGTGGCTCAGAGGAAAGAGCTGGGGCCAGACCTCTCATCATTCTCCCTTTCCTCGCTGGGCCTTAGTTTCCCCATCTATACAATGGGAGACTAGGGACTGGCTGATTTTCAAGTCTTCTCATCCTTACTTGGATTTTCTCCAAGTGTGCTACAAGGGTATGGAAAAATGAAAGTGGGAAAGAGAAACGTGATGTGGTAGGTTGATTGTAAAAGTGTGCCCAGCTCTTCCCTCTTTTCTCTAATCATGCCATCTACCAAATGACTTTGCAGTTTGTCCCTGCAAGAAATTGAGTGTATTTCCCCAGCCATTGATCTGGCTGTCCTGCTGAGCTGCTAGTTTCAAGCTTAGGCCTTGAGAATTTCAGTTTCCTTTTTGTCCTCTCCTCTGCCCCTGGGAAGCTTGTCACTGCCATGTAAGCGACTCTGGGCTCGAAGAATGAGAGACGTGGCCCAGAAACTTCGGCATCCAACTGACAGCCAGTCAATTGTTGGACTGGTGAGTGAGGCTGTTCTAGACCACCCAGTCTCCAAGGCATCCACCAGCTGTCAGCAGACACAGAATGGGCACAAGCTGAGGGCATCCGACTCTGGTCCAGAGCAGAACTACCTAGCTGGTCTGTGGGGGTGAGGAATGCATTGAAGGTTTATTGCTAAGTATTAGAGAGGCTTTACAGGTGTTTGTTATATGCCACAATTGGGTTAATAGGTAACTGACAGTCGTGGTCAGTGAGAAGTGTGCTTTTGATTCTGCTTAAGTCTTCTGCTGGGAACACTTTGTTGTTCTCCTGTGGGAAGCAGGCAGGGAGGGTCTATTGCAGTGGCTAAGGGCGGAGATCATTCTTGCTCTGTGACACTGGGTCCTTTAATAGGATGGTCTCTTAATCTTGATGATTATAGACCCCACCTTTGGGATGGTTATGTGGTGTCTTAGTAAACTTTTTCATTGTTGAAACAAAATACTCAGAGTAAAAGTCGATTTGGCTCACAGTTTGTACTGGTTTCAGTTCATAGTCAGCTGGCTCTAAGACAGGGTAGAAAGGAAGACAGGCATCGAAGAGGAGAAGCAGTTAATGGCAGGCGGAGGGCAGCAGAAGGGGCTGGGGACATAGCTCGGTAGCATAGTACCTGCCTGGCAAGCACAAGGTCCTGAGTTCAATTCCTGGTACAAAACAGAAACAAAAACAAAAAGGCAGGAAAAGTAAGAAATGACAGTAATAGCAGCTTTTCTTTTTCATTCTACTCAGGCAACATGGCTCACGGCAGGTGCTAAACCAATTAGTAATTTACCAACCACACACCCTTAATCCTAGCATCACATATTCTAGAACTAGCCACTCTGAAAAACCCATGCATGAGGCTTTGGGGGGACATCAAAACACAAGCCGTAACATATGGATTAAGTGAGTTATTACATAAATAAAGCACTTTTCAAAGCTATGTCTATGGCATTTTGTATATATTCAATCTCAGATAGTGGGGTGAGCTTATGGGGTGAGCTGCAATGTCCTGATGTGCACTGGGGATCCTCACCAATGAGTTCAAGCGACTGGGGGCATGGCTCTTGCTGGCACAGGATGTGCAGGAAATCTCAGTTGGGGGAGAGGCCCCAGCAGATTCTTCCTTTCCTTGGTCCAGCTCCAACCAACTGCTGTTTCTGGTGACATGGCCCTGAGAGACCAGCCCTAGTTCAGCATCTTCCTATTAAAAATGGGGAAACTGATGCCTAAAGTAAGAGTTTTCAGGATCTCAGTCCTTCTGACCTTTGGCCTGGTGCTTGTTCCCCAATGCCAGGATTGTCATATTTCTATAGGTACGTGCATTCTGGGCTGGCAGCTCTAAAGAGCGGACTGAGCACGACGCTATATGCTACTCTAGTTGGCAGATACAAGGACCAGGCTGCCGTGGGTGACACGTGGGGTTCTTTGTATCCCTCTATTGTGAGTATGGGAGAAGTGCCTAGGATATATGGGCACCACCTGAACACCTAGTGGGTTCAGAGTTTTCGGTGGCAAGTGACCCATGTGACATACCTCAATAGGAAATCACAGGGCAGCAGGGCCAAGGTGATTCCCTTTGCATCCCCATGGGAAAACAGGTTCAGGACAGGATGCTCAGTTGTGCAGAGACAGCCCAGAACACAGGCCTTTTACCCTCACAGAGGGGCTTCCTGCCCAGCTTCCACCCTGCACTTCTTTGGGCTATTGTGTCTTGTGGGGCTAGATGGAGCCTGTCCTACCCCAGGCCTCAGCCTGGCTCAGGGAGCCTCCAGGGCTGCCCTCCAGCCTCAACCTCATCCCAGGTGCCTACTGAGCTGGCTGAGCCCAGACAGCCCCTCCCAGGCCTTGTCAGGGGAATGGATCCTGACCTGCTATCTGTGGAGTCCACCCAGATGAGTCAGAAAAATCCTGGTCCCAACTTGTCTGAGTGGATGACCCAAAAGATGTTATCCAACCTGCAGAGGGGAGGGAAGGGGTTTTCCTGGCTCTTCCTGTCCCTTCCCTGGATCAGCCCTGCAGGGCTGAGGATGTTGTGTGTGTATTTGTATGCTCACTTGTGTACATGTGTGCATGTGGGTGCAAACTTCCTCTGTGATCTATGGGCTTACTTTTAGTTCATGCTGTTGATTCTGGGCATGCTGTGTACACTGCATGGAAAAGTGTGCACGTATTTGCTTTAGTTCTTTTCTTCTTTTTTTCTGCATGGAGCGTGGCCTCCTCCAGTGTGCGTGCACTTAGAGAAAGGAAGCCCTTGGAGCAGGTGCATCACCACGCACTCATACCCAAGTGCTCCCATATCATGATGTGCACAGAGGAAGTCTGTGCTTGTGCCTGCTGTAGACACACAGGCTTGGCTCTGGGCATGGGCTTGGAGGGCCTAGCCTCAGCATGTAACCATGTCCTGCCTGGTCTACGAGTTGGGCCCAGATGTTTGTTTTTGCTCTCACAGCTCAGAGAAGAGAGAGTGGTACTTACTGCCTTAGGGAGTTGAAGTGAGTGGATTGCTTGGGTTGGGTCCTGTCCTGGCCCCTGCGCTTCTCAGAGATCCAGGCTCTGCCATTCCTCCTGGAGGAGACGAGAGGCAGGGCCTGGAGGCCTCTCTGGAACAGTTTGCCTTTAAACTCACTGGCCTCCAAAAGGATGTCGGCTCTGGGCCCCCTGTCGATTTTCAGCATCCTCCACAGAATGTGGCCTTGAACCTCTGGACAGGAGGTCTTTGATTGCATCTGGTATCACAGCTGGTCTTGCTCCAGCCAGGGATCAGGAACCTGGCAGCCTGGAGCCTGGGACTGCTCACGTCCAGATCCTGGACTCACGTTCCGCCTGCCAGGACACCTCCAGGGACTCCTGTGCAGCCAGATGGAGTGGGGAGGTGAGAAGAGTAACATCTGACACTTGCCCCTGCCCTGTGTGCCCTCCTGTGATCTAGCTGTAAGTGTCTGTGCACATGCCTCACCCTCAGTTCAGGGCTGCCATGGCAACAGAGAAGATAGCTCGCCATATGCCGCCTGTGGGGACCTCAGTCAGGCCCTTGCCATGCTAGAGATTAGTGTGGGAGGGCAGATGACACGTTCTGGGGCAGTCATTGGCCACATCTGGTACCTCTCAGCTCTGGAGTGTTTGGAGATAACGAAGCCTGGTGTCCCCCAGGCTGCTGCAGCTAAGTGGACATTGAGAGTCCCTGGCTGTCCCCAAGGTTAACTTCTCTGAATAACATCCTCTCTCAGGGAAGGGGCAGAGACGCGTTCACACTACAGTGTAAGTGATTAATCCCTTCTGGGAGTGTGCTGGCTTGGGGACTACGTCAAAACCTGGACTTCAATAGCAATCAGAAGCTTAAGTTAACCCATTAACAGGGAAGATTTTAGGAATGGGAGAGAGGTGTAGGTATATACAATTTTGCACTTAGTTGCTAAGGTACGCAGTAGTCTACTATAAACCTAACTTGCTGACTTGATGAGTGTGGGAGCTCCCCGGACCCCCTCAGTCGGGGGGGGGGACCCCCTCATCTGACCTGGGTCTCTGAGGCCTTTGCGTCTATTGGGAGGCTGCGCTTTTCTGCTGGGTTTAGAGGTCCCCACCCCTTCCTTGGTTCTTCTAAATTTATTTTCTTTGGAAAAACACTCTCCCTTGGACGCACGCTCTGTGATTAGTGTGAGAAGAGCAGTGACAAGGAGGAGAAGGAGGAGAAAGAGGAGAAGGAGGAGGAGGAGGGCAGGGGGAGAGAGAGGAGGAGGGGAGGAGGAGGGGAAGAGGGAGGAGGAGGGGTCGGGATTCCAGCTGGGACCAGCAGAGCAAAGCAGGATGGGTATGGGAATGGGGCATGGGGTAGGAGAACTTGGCAGAGGTGCGTAGAAGGCCTGGCATGGTGAGAGTGCACAGAAGCTGCTTAGGAAGGCAGTTTTGACCCTTCTTCCTCCTCCAAATGGACTTGAGGGACATGTGTACACCCTGCCCAGGCCCTTAAGGATGTTCTGGCTTTACATCTTGTTTCTAGTTGTCCTGTGATCTGCCTGAGTGAGGAACCACCACCTGCAGACCCTAGGCAGGTCCCCTAGGCCTTCTCCTCACCAGGTGACAGGCACGCAGGCTGAGAGTAACCCACATAAATCGAGGTCGGTGTACTGGGCAGATTCAGGATGCGGGAGTCCTCTGCCTCAGGGGGCCCCAGCCCAATCCCAGGCCTAGGAACTGGGTCAAATCTGGAGATAAACACAGGAGTCATTCTCAAAGGCAGAGCTCACTTCCCCGCCAGGCCAGCAAGTTCCCAAAAGCATCCAGCTTTGCTTGGGAGGGAAGACAAAGGAAACAGATATGGGGGGCGGGGTGAGGGAGGCCCTCTCCTCCAATGGGCTCCTTTCTGTGAAATTCTAGCATCTGCAAATTTATTTCTGCCAGCAATTTACCTTTTCTGCAAGCAGGAGAAATCTGTTCTTGTTTATGAGTCACTGCTTTATGAGGAAAATTAGGAACAGAGGCATCTGCAGTTTGGGAATAAGACAGAGAGGTGAAGTTGAGGGGCAGGGCTCATAAAACACAAGCCCTGGTGTAAAATTCAGTGTGGTCTTACTCCCATTCAACCAGAGGCAGTCATTTTTGTTGGCTGGACGTGTGTGACTTTATTAATAGTCACTCAGCACACTTTTAGATCAAGCAAACACTTTCTAAGTAAATAAACTTTAAAAGCTATACTTGACACAATGTCATAAAGTGGAAAATGTGCTGACCATAGAAACTTGTTAAACCAAAAATGTTCTGGGCAAGGACTGAGCGCTAGATCTATAGCTAGGGCCTGGGGTCCTTCTTTCTGGGAGTTATGCCATCATTCTGTTTGCTGTGGAGGTTATTGGCACTGGGGAATCAACCTGGGGTCCTTTGGGAATTTCCTCTTCCCTGATGAGTTCTTCGTTTTTTTTTTTTTTTTTCTTTTTGGTACCGGAGATCGAACTCACAACCTCACACTTGACAGGCAGGCGCCTGGGCCACTGATCTAAATCCCTAGCCCCTCTGACAAGTCCGTTGGTCAGGGACTTTGGTTACACTACTTGGTAACAGAGTCCTCCAACTACCCCCCAGTAGTCACAACCTTCCAGTTCAAGACTACATTTCCCAACTCCCTTTGCAGCTAATTGTACCATGTGACTGGGACTCACCCAATGGGATGTGAGTGAAAAATGGCAAAGGAGAACTTCTGATTTGTGCTCTTAAAAAGGACAGGAGTGTCTTTTGCCCTCCCCATCCCTGCTTCCTGATGCCGGAGCCAGACACCACTTGGAGATGTGGGTAGACCTGCCTTATCAGCCCTAGACTATGTACTGCTGAGTCATCATAGAGAAGACTAAACTTTTGATTTGTTTAAATGAGTGTATTTTAGAGCTGGGCACGGTGGTGCACACCTGTAACTTCAGTACTTGGGAAGATTGCCATCAGTTCAAGACCAACGTGGACTACATAATGAATTCAAGGCCAGCCTGAACCACATAGCAAAACTCTGTCTCAAAAAGCCAAAACCAAACAAACCAATCACCCCAAAACCAAAACCAAAACCATAACAACAACAAAAACAAAACAAAAGCAAGTGTATTTTTGGACTTGTCTCTTACAACAGCTTATTTTGTATCCTGCCTTCTCCATGGCAAACCTATCTTGAAGACTAACCCAAACCCTGTAGTGTTAGTTGCTGTAAGGTAGTTCAGCCAGCACCGTGATCAGGACAACCTTGAGGTGGAAAGCATGTCAGACCAGCCTTCAAATCCTTACACCCTCTTCTATGTGACTGTGAGCAAATACTGTCACTGCACTGGGGGGATTTCTTTCTTTCTCTCTTTTTCCTTCCTTCCTCTCTTCTCTCTCTCTTTCATTGATACTAGGTTGAAACATAGACCTTCACAAAGAGCTACCTCCTTAGCTCTTTCTCACTTTTTTTCTTTTGAGACAAGGTATTGCTAAGTCATTTATCTCCCAGGCTGGGTTTAAACTTGTGAGCCCCCTGCCTCAGTTTCCCAGAGTGCTGGAATTACAAACCTGTGCCATGGGGCCCAGCTACCTGGGAGGATTTCAACTAGCGACACTTTTCACATGGCTACTGGCTGTCTACATGCCTACGTAACTGAAGCAAAAGTTGTGTGGGGTGAAACTTAGCCATCTGACCTACACAGTGTACTCTGATATTTTTGATTCCAGTGGTCCTCAAATTGTGGAGTGAATTAACATCGCTTAAGAACTGTGGAATCAGAAACTGCAGGCGAGGGTCTAACGATCTTTTATTTTGATTTACTTTTTTGTGGCCTTGCGAATTGAATCTAAGGCCTTGTGCATGCCTGGCAAGGGCTGTACCACTGAGTGACAATCCCAGCTGCTGCAGTTTATATTAAACAAACCTTTGTGATACAGCTAAAGTTTGATTACTAATGTTTACTTTAAGAAAATACTGACTATCACCTACCAAATTAATTTTATAACCCTCTAATAGGACACACCACTCACATGGACTTAGCAGAAATCTGTTTGCTATCTGTATTCTGGCTGCCATTCATTTCCTCTTCTATACAACTTCCCCAGTTTCCTGTTGCTCCAGGGATAGGTCGGACCCAGGACCGGCTGAAGCAGTGATTGGCTCAGGGATGATCATGTGACCCTCGATACCCAATGAGATGTAATCCTGAGACTTTTGCTGGAGAGAGACGTTCTGTTCCTTTGCGGGGAGTTACAGAGCTGTAGGAAGGAGGCTGGGGAGTGTCCATGCTACTGTTGCCACCACAGGGAACAGTCTGTCTGATGCTTCGGGCGCAGCTGAGGGATGCGAGAGACTGTGTGCAGACGTTTTTAGCATCCTGCATCATCTCCTGTCTCTATGCTCAGGCCCAGTTGTGGTGACAGTCTTGTGTACAGTTAGGATGTACCCCAGGGGTTTCCAGAGCTGAGGAGTCTGCTGGGCTGAAGAGTCTAGCCCCTGTTATTTATTGCATAAAATTTGAAAAAACACATCCTTTTTATCATCTGTTCCTCTTTTCTTGTCTCAATCTTGTTTCTCATTCTTGCTGACTGTAATCCCCTCCCAAACAAACTACCTGCATTCATGCCCTGGCCCAAGTGTCTGCTCTCATGGAAAACTAAATGAACACAAAGAGATTCTTGGTGACATTTGAGCATCTGGATGCAGCCATACCTGAAACCAATTTACTGGACTTTACAGGTAAGTAAGTCAGAATAATTCCCCCTCCCATTATTTGCTATATTAATTAGTTTTCTATTTATGCTGTAACAAGTTCCCCACAGACCTACAACAACAGTATCATCCCACATATTCTAGGGGTGAGAATCAAAGTGTAGCTTAGCTGGGACCTCAGGCTCAGGCCTCTCATGAAGTTGTGGTGAAGGCGTCAGCCAAGGTGGCCTCACCTCATCTTCCTTCCTTTTTTTTTGAGACGGGGTCTCTCTATGTAGTGCAGGCTGGCCTCGACCTCACTTTTGTAGCCTGGGTTGGTCTTGAACTCATGGTGATCCTCCTTCCTCAACCTCCTGAGTGCTGGGATTACAGGCAAGTGCCACCATGCCTGGCTCAACTCAAGTCTTGATTGAGAAAGGATCTACTTTCAAACTGCTTTCTCATGAAAAAATCCAGCTTCTGGGCTGTTGGATTGAAGTCTATGATTCTTGGCTCTCCGTTGACCAAAGTCCATTCTGAGCCCCTCACCATGTAGGCCTCTAAACAGGGCAGCAGACAACATGGTGGCTGGCTTTCCTCAGAGCAAGCCAGGAGAGAGCAGGAAGGGCTAACAAGCATTAGGAAGCCAGAGGCTTTGGTCCCAAAATTCTTTTTTTTTTTTTTTTTTTTTTTTGTCTTTTTCCTTTTTATCGGTACCGGGGATCGAACTCACGACTGCCTGCTTACAAGGCAGGCGCTTATGCTGCTGAGCTAAATCCCCAGCCCTTGGCCCCCAAATTCTAAAGTGACACCCTGACAGCTTTGTTGTGTTCTATCCTTTAGCAGCTGGTTACTAGGTCCACTGTGCACTTGGTGGTGGTGGTGGGGGAGTTACACAAGGATAGGAACATCTAGAGGGAGCTTTTTTTTTCTTTAGTACTTGGTATTGAACTCAGTACTAAAGCTACATTGCTTTGCTGAGCTACATTGCCAGGCCTTTTAAAAATTTTAATTTTGAATCTGTCTTGTTAAATTACTAAGCTGTCCAGGCTGGGCCCAAACTTGTGATCGTGCTGTCTCAGCCTCTTAGATCTTAGATCCTGGAATTACAGGCCTGCGCTACCACACCCAACCAGAAGCAAGCTTTGAAACTATCTAACATAACCTACTTGGCGTATGAACCCCTTGTCCCAAGGCACAAACCCAGAAAGGCTTTGAGCATCTGTATGGAAGTGAGGGCACCAACATCAGCCTTGAGCCATCTCAAGGTAAGCACCCTTGGGGAGACCTTGGGGGTGAGGGTGCAGTAATGGTCTTGGTGGGCTGGAAAGGGCAGAAGGAAACAGAATGTGGAGTTCCTCTTTATTACCCAGAGAAATCTGTAGAAGATCATGGTGTTCCTTTTGGTTAGGGATTGTTCATTCTGTGTGATTTTTCCCATACTGTTATGGTGCTAACTAACCTTTATTTAATGTTTATTCTGTGTTCAACCCTGGACTTAGAAGTTCACTGATCTGATCTCACTTAATCTTCTTTATATAAGATCAAGCCTGAAATATCTCCATTTCGCAAATGAGGAAACTTAGATGCAAGAGGCTGCATGATTTGCCTGAGGACACACAGCTAGCTGTTTAATGGCACCCCTGGAATTCATCAGAGACCAAGTCCTTCCCTGCTAGGCAGTCAAACCAAGTCAGTGCAGTGACCGTGAAGTGCTCATGGAAGCTGGACTGACCTCTCACATCCCTAATCCACCTGCTCTCTCATTCTAGGCCTTCAGTCTCAACCTGACATTTTTCTGGTTATCGAGATTTCAATGCTGCCAATATTCATACACCCCTTTGGGTCATGCTATCCTTGGAAAATAGGTCGAAATCTGTCCTCCCACCCCCACACACTTTTTTTTGTTGTGTTTTTCTTTTTCATAGCTACCAGGTATCGAACTCACAACCCACATGCGCTGCTGAGCTAAATCCCCAGCTCCCACCCCCACATTCTCAAATCCACGTGACTTTAGGGGCAACTGATTCCTGAGGGGTCTCAAATGCAACTCTCATTGGCTCATCTTGGGTCACATGCCCACCCTGAAGCCAATCACTGCAGCCTATCAAATCGGGTGCTCTGATTGGCCAGCCATTTAGGCACCCTTTGGTGTAATTTGACAGAGGAGTAAACTGAAGCTACAGAAAAGGGTGACTTGCTCTGGATTACACAGGCATAGGAGGCCCAGGTCGGGTCCCTCAGCCTGTGTGTTCCTCCCAGGCTGGCATGTCTGAAACGTTGGTGTGTTTCCAGCCACTTGTTCTGGGCCTGGCACATGGTAGACATTTAATAAACACCAGGGAAGCTGAAAAAGGCCCCCAAAGGTGCAGAGAATGAATCAGTGGAAGTCAGGCATGAAGTAACATTTGCCCCAGTGAGACCCCAAGACATCATCTTGAAGAATGTTAATAGATGGGCCATGACATTAGAAGGGCTTCTATGAGAAACAAGTTTGTAAATACACGGGACTGCCCAGATGAACCAGTTTGTTTACATCGGAAGTTCTCAAGATGCTTAACGGGCTCTGTGCAGTGAGCCCTCCAAAAGGATTTGTTATGCTGTGTTTCTCAAGCTAGTTTGACCACAGAATTATTTTTATTAAGTGAAAAACATACCAGGGAGGTCAGAAAAGACTTATTGGAAAAGGCAACTCAGTTAAGAGTCAAAGAAGAGAGAAATGGGAGAATCAGATGAGAGCAAAAGTGTCCCAAATGTATCATACGAGAAATCATTAAATATTATGTCTCAAATATTTATGTAGGTCAAGACTCCATTGAATATAAGCACTATCACTACAGTTTAGACTGGGTCAGGCAAATGGAGAATTTATTGGTCCATGTAACTGATTTCAGGCATGGTTGGATCCAGGTGCTCGAACCATCCCCTCAGGGATAAGTGTTGTTCTCAAGCAGACTCTTTCCCCAGATGCTTTACAATAGTTTCAACCGAAGCCCCAGGAAGGACTCTGATTGGTTCTGCTCAGCTTGATACATGTGCCTACTCTGCAGCCAATCACTGCAGCCTATGAGATTTGGTGGTCTGATTGCCCAGATCCTTAGACTTCATTGTATCTCATCCTCTCCCTTGGAAGATGGAAAACTGAATTCTCCAGGGGGAAAGAGACTCACACAAGGATACCCAGAGAGAGCAGCAGAATGGCAACAGGCTAGTTCAGTTTATGGCTCTTTCTGTTATTGCAGCTGGTGCCCGGGGTCAGTTAGACTAGCTTGGGCAGATCGGAGTGCCTCCAGCATTTCTGTACTGGGTACTGTCCTGGACCCTGTCTGCAGGAACCCTGCTGGAGATGAGGCTGTAAAGGACAAGAGCTCCATGGTCTCAAAGGATCAGACAGGCTGCAAGAACAACTGGTGATTGAATTGGCTGTGACACTCAGGATGCTGGCTGTGGTGGGGACAGCAAAGGACAAGCCAGAGGCAGGTCAAGGGCCAGCTCCCTGGGCTGGGTGTAGCAGGGCACATGCAAGACCTGACATTGTCAAAGGTGGAGTCTCTCAGAGGTCTGGGATGCCTCAACAATTCTTGCTGCTCCCTGAGTGTCTACATCCAAGTGTCGCCAGGCCTCTTGACTGTCTGGAAACAGTCCACCTCTCTTTGCCTTAACTGACCTCACCAGCCACTGCCTTCTCCGCCTGGCTGCTGGCAGAGATGGACTCAACACAGTCATCCCTGCCTTCCACTCTTATCCCCATTCGTTCTCTTTACAGTACTTTTCAAAGCTGTCCTTGCAGGCTGGGGATGCAGCTGAGTGCGAGCCTGTGCCTAGCATGTGGGATGTGCTGGATTCATCTTCAGCACCCAAACTTGAAATCAAAATAAGAACAGTGGCTCTTCATTGCTCTCAAGGTGAAATCCAAGCTGTGGCCCCTCAGTGTCTCCCTTGCCTCTTCACGGGGCAACTTTCCGTATAGCACTCTGTCAGGCACGTGGGTTCCCCCTCCTAGCTTCCTGAGCAAGCCACATAGCCTACTGGCTGAGCTTTTGCCCATGCTCGCCCACCTTCTGGGAACCCTCTATTATCTCCTCCCATGGCCCAAATTCTTTTTTTTGTTTTTTGTCTTTTTCATTTTTATCGGTACCAAGGATCGAACTCACGACCGCCTGCTTGCAAGGGGTCGCTAAGCTAAATCCCCAGCCCTCATGGCTCAAATTCTTTGGCTTTAGTGTATTTTTTTTTTTTTTTTTTTCTTTTGGTACTGGGGTCAAACTCACGACTGCGTGCTTGCAAGGCAGGCGCTTATGTTGCTGAGCTAAATCCCCACCCCCATTTTTTTCCTTTTAAGAACTATTTCTTAATTCTTTCTTAGGACAAGACCTTCTCACTGGGAGATGAGGAAACCGGGGTTCAGAGGAGGAAGGGACTCATCCAAGGTCATGTGGCTAGTAAGTGGCAGAACCAATTAAGCTCAACCAATAAATACATATGGAGCAGTTATTATGGGCCAGGTCCTGTGATTCCAATGAGAAATTAACCAGGTTTACAGTTCTAGGGGAGCTCTCGGAACAGAAGGGAAAACAGACTTGTAAACGGGAGTGGGAGCTGGGAGGGGGACATCGAAGGCCTCCAGAATTAATCACAAGCAGGCAGGGAAAGTTATAGGTAGGGACGAGATCTGGGCTGAGACTTGACGAAAAGATATTCATGTGAATATGTGACAATTCATACACTCAGTGACTGAATGTGCACACTTGCATATTTGGGGTATTTAGATGCTGGGTTTGTGCATATATAAGTAGGTGTCTGAGTGACATGGCATCCGTTTATGTGCATATGGGTGTGAATCTGCATGCAGAAATGTGCTGTGTAGATAGTAGGTAGTTACACACATAAATCAATGTGTTTGTGTGAGTGTACACATGTGAATACAAATGTGCAGTCGGATTGTGGATACAAGTGTACAGGGATAGTGGAACTGATACAGGGGAATGAAACGCTCGACCTTCTATGTCTGTGAGTTCGTGTTCTCTAAAACCGAAGAATGAATTTTAGGAACAACAGAGGTTAAGAGCAGAATATATTTATTGAGGGAAACCAAGCTTCTGTCTGAGAGAGACAGAAGAGGTCCCTAGTGGGTTGCCAAGAACTGTCTTTTCTAGGGACTTTTATAGAGTAAAACCATGGGTTCAAGGTGTGAGAAGGCTGGGAATTCACAAGGCAGATGGGCATAAGGTGGGACATAACTGTAGTTAGCCAATAAGATCAATAGTTGAGGTAAAACTGATTACATTAGGAACAAATGGAGTCATGGAGAAGCAGGCATTCTTACAGAGCTGTGACTCTTTCCTAGGGGGTTGGGAACTGTTTAGGGTATCAGTCCCAGATATGGGTGCATTTGTATGGTCTTTTGTCTTGAGGCCTGGCCCACAGCAGGAGGCATCAGCTTCCCCAGCAGCTGCCAGGTGTTTGCACTGGCTCCATTGAGGACCTAGCCCTATCTCACTGCCTATAATATTTCTAATCTAGCTCAGCTGCCTGCAACAGAACCAGACTGCCTGTTCAAATCACAGTTCTATTGCTTATATGTCCAAGATAAGTCAACCTCTTGGCCAATGTGACTGTTAATCTTGATTGTCTACCTGAGTGTACTGCCAGGTGCTCAGGAGATTGGTAAAGCACACTTACGCATCATGAGTATGTGGCTGCAGGACGTGAGCAACCCTCTTTCCCACGCCTCTCCACCATGGTCTCTGCCATGTTGTTTCTGCCTTGGCCGGCTGATCTTGGCCTGAAACTTCTGATACTTTGAGTCAAAAGGAACTTTTTCTCCTTCAGGTTGCTCATGCCAGCTACTTTGTCCTAGTAATGAAAAACTGACTCACGTGGAAAATTTGCCACTGAGAAGTGGGATCATTGGTTGTGATATACCAGACTACATGGTTAAGAGACTTTTGGAACTAGTTTCCTGGAGAAATTTAGAAAGTTTTGGAGATGTGAGTCAAAGCGATGAGTTTCTGGTTAATTCCTAGAATGCTGGAGGCAGAGGTTGATGGGCGATTTTGATTGGCTCTCCGAAGGCCAGAATGCTGACAGGTACCTGGACAGTAAAGACTGTGCTCCTGAGGTTTCAGATGGGAATAAGGATCCTGTTGGGGATTGGATTACAGGCTGTGCCTGTTTTATTCTGGCAAAGAGCTTGTCTACATTTGTCCATGCCCCGAGACTGGGGAAGGCTGAATTTAAAGGTGGCAGACTAATTAATTTGTTGGAGGAAATTGCAGGGCAGTACACCATTTGGGCTGTGACATGGCTGCTTTTCACCAGGCTTACAGTGAGAATTGGGAGCAAAATGCAGAGCAGAAAGAATTGAAAAACTTGTAGTTTGGTCACAGAAGAAATCAGGGTAAAGCTGGGGTCGAAGAAGATGTAGTTGCTGAAGAGATTAATGCCATTAAAAGGAAGCCAAGTACTTTTTCCCTGGGACAATAGGAAAGATGCCAGGAAGGCATGTCAGAAATTGGCCAGGCCAAAGGAGGAAAATCCTTCACTTTTTTTTTTTTTAAATCAGTACCGGGGATCAAACTCACGAACACCTGTGAACACCTGCTCACAAGGCAGGTGCTTATGCTACTGAGCTAAATCCCCAGCCCCTAAGGAGGAAAATCTTAAAGTTGTTAGAGAGACTTTGTGTTGGGAAGAGAGCCTCAGGGCTCCCTGATCTCTTCAATCACTCCCAGGAAATGCTTCCCTGCATTAATCCATAGAGGCACTTAGAGGTTACTGTAACTGTGATCCAAGGGGGCATGGCTACTGCTCACTGGTGTTTTTCCTGTGATGCTGATTCTGTGGGCCTGCAGGATGCAAAAGTTACAGGTTTGTGGAGATTTCAAAGGAAAGCCTGCCGCAGAGTTAAGCAATGTGTTGCAGGATCAGGATCCCTACAGGGAGTCCCCAAGAGGACAAAGCATGAAGGGAAGAGGCTGAAGCTACAGTGAAGATCCCAGAAAGCTGGAGTTATAAGGAACATTTACTGAGGAAATCTTCAGACAAGGAACAGAGTCAGCCTAAGAGACAGACCGTGTAGGCTGCAATAGCAAAGCCAGAAAGGTGGGGCTGCCCAAGTCCTTTGAAACTCACAGCTTGTCTGTCATCATGTGCTTTGGATGCTATACATGGAGTTAATATAATCTCAGAGTTATTGTTTGCCAGGCTGGGTTTCAGTCTTGTTTTGGTCTCCTTAATTTCTGTTCTCTTTTTGCTTATCTCTTGAGATTTTTTAACTTGTTTGATTTTTATAAGGGCTCTCAGCTAACAGTTGCCTTGAGTCTCAGAAGATATTCTGGACTTGGGCTTTTGAGCAATGTAGGAACTGAGACTCTGAGGGAGAACTGACATTATGACCTTGTTACTGTCTCTCTTTGGAGCTTAAGCACGGTTTAAAAAGCTGTGTTTAGAAGTCAAATTGACAAGAAGTGGAATATAGTGATTAATCTTGATTGTCAACATGACTGGATTGAGGGGCTGGGGATTTAGCTCAGCGGCATAAGCACCTGCCTTGCAAGCAGGTGGTCGTGAGTTCGATCCCCGGTACTGGAAAAAAGAAAAATCAAGCAAAACATGACTGGATTGAAGGATGTCTAAGAGATTAGTAAGGCACACTCCTGGGTGTGTCTGGGAGAGTCATGGGATGTCACCGTGGGGATTATATCTGGTGCCTGGCCTCTTCCTCTCTGGCTCTTGTTCTTTCTCTGCGTCCTGGCTACTGTGAAGTAAGCAGCTTTCCCCTGCCTTGTCTCTGCACCAGATTACCATGGACTGAGACCTCTGAATCTATGAGCCAACATGAATCTTTCCTTCTTAAATTGTGCATATCAGGCATTTTGTACTAATAACAAACAGCTAACACAGCCAGTTTCTGTATGAATAAAATGGGGGAAAATAAGACTATCTCTTTAAGTTGATGCTTAGAAGCTGAGAAAGAAACTTTTTTTTTGAGGCATTCTTAACTGAGTAATGTATTGTGGGAGATACTTGAAAAGGCATGAGAACAACAGGACAAAATTGGAGGAGATGTGGACCCAGCTGGCATCTAGTGTCAGTGTGATCCTATGGGGAGCCCTGGGCATGAAAGGCCCCGTAGAGTTACCCCACTTTAGGGACAGAGGCGAGCCCTTGCCAGTCTTTGACTGTGTCCTCTTGAAGGAGGAGGAGCTGTCTTCTAGATATCTTTCAGTGAGGCTACTTGGATGGATTGAGGACCATTCCCCAGAGAAGCTGCCGATGAGAAGGATGCTTTTAGCAGCTGATCTGGCAGCAGCAAGAGTTGGGTAAACCTAGAACCTTCCCTACTCTACCACTGAGGTCCCAGAATAATAGCCCTGGAGATACCTGGGCTCTTGTTAGAAATGCCGAGTTGCCATCCTTTCTCAGAATGGTAGACCCAGACCCCGCATGTTAACAGATCTCTAGTTTTAGACAGAAACTTTATATTAAGCCACACACTGTGGTGCTGTGATGGCCACTGTATGAAGCACCCGAAGAGTGTCCAACCCCAGTGGGTGCTGTTATTGTTTGCATCAAGAGTATTGCTTATGTTTGCTCATCAGATACGTTTTTTGTAGTGCTAAGGATGCATGCTACTCAAGCACTGTCATCTGAGTTATACCCCCAACTCTAATGTCGCCAGTTCCCAGATACTTCGTATGTATAAATAAAGTGCTAGGAATTGGATGGGGACCATGGTTTTGAGATCCTGGGGACCAGAGGGCTTCCTCTGTGGTGATTTAGCCACTTCTGGTTTTACAGAACTGTAAACTTGGGAGAGGGGCGATCGAGGTGCATAAGACTCAAGCGCCCCGTCTCCTGGAGTTCCATCCTTCCTGTTCTTTCCCTGTGCTGGCCCAGATCCTGTCTGTCTCTGTGTCTTGTGCCTGCCCTGGCCCGGAGTGTGGGAAATCACTGAGATCTCGCAGATAAATGTTCTCTGGTGCCTGCACATTGTGAAGAGACACAGAGCCGTGCTCCCTGTGAGTTGCGGTATCCATCCATTCCCAGGGAGCTCTAACTGCTTGGGAGAAGGGTGTGAAATTTAATTTGCACTAATTATCCCGAAGTGAGAGGAGCGGGAAATGAGCTGGCTCTGCACATTCGGCCTCTGCCAGCAGCTCATTCCCCAGGTTGTAGTTTATTTATGTGCAAGGGGATTGGGATAGGATGGGGGTGCTGTCTCCATGGCAACTGCAGCTGCTGGGATTTTGGGGCAGGTGAGGAAGGGATGGGTGAGGGCTGAGGCAGACTTGGGACCTGCATCTCTGTGATTGGTGGGGGTCCCTCCCTGGCTGTCTGTCTGGAGGAGAAGAGGCGAAGGAGAGAAGGACAGAACTCCTCCCTTTTCTTTTTAAGGGGAAGCCTTTTCAGAGAGCAGTGGCAGCTCTGTCCCAGGACA